GGCTTGGTGCATAAGAAATAAAAATGCTGGGAGGAAGAAAGAAAAACATAAATGGTATTTGGGGGGGGGGGGGGATAAAACAAAACATAAGTTAGAAAAGAGAGAAAAGTGCAAAAGTTTCATGCAGGGACGCCGGGTTGCACCTACCGACCACCGTCAGCAACATGTTGTCCAGGAGCAAAGCGACGAAAACAATGAAGAGAATCAGTTTCCTGGACTGTCGCTCCTCTCTCAGCCATTTGATCAACGTGAACTGACGGAGCGCATCTAGTCCCCCCATGGTGTTTTAGTCCCAGCGGAGCGGCGGCAGGACTTTAACTCTGCCTGAATAAATGATGGGAAAAGTTTTAAAAAAAATAAAAAAATAAAAAAATAAAGAAAAATAAAGAAATAGTGTTAGGTTAGAATGAAACTGTGAGCCTTCAGAGGAACTCCTGTCCTACCTCAGGGGAGCAGGCAGCAGCGCAGATGGAGGAGGAGGTGGAGGAGGTGAAGTCTTTTTACTGACTGGAGCTGCTGCTGCTGACGTCACCCCCCTCTTAATGTTTACGTCCCCGTCAGACCTGTCTTCACGCGATCAGAGCAGAGATGCTCCACCAACACAAAGCCAGGGTTTGAACAGCAGCGCTGCCCGGGATGAGAGCAGTCCCTCAGCGTCCGTCTGCGGCGCGGCGCTGAAACGCCGTCAGAAAGCTGCTGTTTCTACACCCAACATCAGGTCAAATGCGCTGGAACACAAATTCCCGCCCCTGTGAAAAAAAAACAAATAATAATAATAATAATAATAATAATAATAATAATAATAATAATAATAATAATAATAATAATAATAATAATAATTTTACATAAACAAAATACAATTTCAAATTTTAGCTGAAGAAAAGCGAACCAGAATGCAGCTGCTTCTTGGAGAATATTCACATTTAATGTTGTAATATAAACATTTTCTGGACACAGAAGAAGCAGAGATGCTAAATGAGAAGTTTTTTTTTTGTCTTTCTTTTTTAACATGGTTTACACTAAAAGTAGATGTGACGTAGCAGACAGAGGAACTCTTTTATAACAAACCAAATCTTTCATTCCTCTTCTGTCATTATCATTGAATATTTTGGTGGTTTGAGTTCAGTCATAATTTTGATAAAATACAGGGCAATTAGGGTTAATGAAAGTTATTTTTATTAACTGACTACAATACAACACAATATAGAGAAAAATTAAATAATTCAATTTTACTACACAAAATTGTTTATCATCTGACTGTCACTGTAATCTGCATGTATTGTAAACAGGCATACTATTTTCTCCTTCAACACTTAACACAAAAATTTTATTGTATTCAGCCATAGTAATATTTAAGTTTTGAGGCATACATTAACATTTTTATTCCTATTTATTCAGACATAAATATGGTCCATAAAAAGTAAAAAACAAACAAAAAAACCCCCCCAAAAAACAAAAACAGACAGTACAACAATAAAAACAATAAAAATAAAATAAAAGTGCCATATAAACTAAGGCGCCAGTGATTCCACAGACTAGAGAAAAACCTCATTGAGCTTTGAACACATCATGCCTATTTTTTCAGTTCCAGTATGAATTGTCTTTAAGCGGCATGCTAAAATTGAGAGAGCTAAAACAGAGATGTGCTGTTTGGGCGCAGTGTTGGAGTCGAGCTGTACTTAGGAGGAACTAAACAGATTGTGCTGTTAAGAAAGGTGATGTTATGATGAGAACAAATATTGTAAAGATTAAAAAAATAAAATAAAATCCTGCTCTAAAATGAAAAAAAACGTAGGCTCTTGATAGTTGGCATTTTAAATACTGACTCTGAGCAAAGTTTAGTAATTTGCTGGACATATGGAAGAGAGACTGGAAGCTAAAGTATTGATCAGCTTCACCCTGGTATTGATAGTATTGATATTTAGATTAAAGTGCCCAGACCTGATGTGACGACACAGTGTTTTGTTGAGAACACTGTTTGTATTTTTTTTGTAAGAAAGAAGATTGCCATATAATCTGTTAGTAGTATGACACTTTTATGAACAAATGAACTTTATGACCATGATGTTGGCACAGCGGTTTGCATTGTTCTTTACGAAGGCCTTCTGCTTCTGGTCGACTGCTGTCAGGATTAGAGTCTTCTGTCCCTCTTAGCCTCGCCATGATTAGTGCATTTGGTGCATTGTTTGTTATGTTGTAGCTTTTGCATCAACCAGAGGCTCCAGTCAGGTTAAAAACCCTTTCCTTCAAATGCAAACATTTGTAACCCCCCCAGTCACATCTTAAAGACAGGATGAAATTCATTCACAAACTGGCACAACCTTCAAATCCCTGAAATATTGGACTAAAAAAGTGTCAGCAATAATCTGCAACCTGGAGATATTTAAACCCGATATCTGCTGCTTTTTTAAAAAAAAAAAAAAACACAAGAAAAAAACCCCTTTGTTTTCTTGTTGTGACTATAATGTTGATTTGGAGACTTAACAGTCATATCCAATAAATTATTCAAATGTACCTTTAGAAAATCATAACCTTTAAGCATGTATTAAACTTTCTATTGAGCCTACATTTCTGTTTATTTATTTTAATTGGTCCATTGTAATAATCTCATCTTAAATGCTGTGTTTCCATTAGTTGTAATTACTAAAATAAATAAACTTTTCAATAAAATTCTATAAGACGCACCTGTAAAGAAAAATCAATAAAAAAGATGTTGACACTAAAGGTTTGGCTGAGACATTTATTGATTTTATTTTATTTTTTTTTGCAGAAAACAGAACAAAACACGCCCTTCAACGGACGGTGAGACCTGTCCAGGGTGTTCCCGCCTGTCGTCCAATGGCTGCTGGAGACAGACACCACTGCCCTCGTCACCCTGCAAGGATGAGTGTGCTAGAAAACGAATGGGCAGATGGAACAAACACTAACTAATAGCACATCTTTCACTGTTTCTTTTGGCATTCACATATTTTAATACAAACTGGCAGTAAAAATGTTCTATTACAGTTTATGTAATAGATATCTTTAGAAAAAAAAAACAATCCTAGTGGTGTAAAAGTTGGCTTTATGCACTTTATACTCTCTACTATTGCTTGACAACAGCACCATCTGGTGCTCTTGCTGTAGACACAACACACTTGCATGTGGTGTTCAGAGTCAGTCCTCGTGGGCATTTGTCCTGTGTGTTTTAGTTCTTTCGCTAGTTCAACACACCTGGATGAAATGATGGTTCATTTGCAGAACGTCTACAGAGTTTTAAACATGCTGATGACGTCGCTGGATCATCTGAATCAACTGCACTGGAGCAGAGATGCATTTAAAACTGGCAGGTCTGGAGCCAGACACCCATGTTTTAAACAAACAGCAGCGTATTGGACAGAACGTCATTTCAAAGAAAGTTGAGTACAATATATCTAATATTTTATTTTTATTGGATTATTACTTGAATTTTTCCCCATCCCATCTCAACTTGAGGAATTTTCAGCAACACACAAGAGCTTTAACATGACCTCTTCAGATCTACAATAGACGTACACTACACTATGACTGCCATTTCATATTAGAACTTAGAAAACTTGTTTTTATGAAGCTATTTTTCCTCAAACCAAGCAATCATGACAATTTAAATTTAAGCCATTTCTCTATTTTATGCTCTCTATTAATGGTCACAATATAGTACAGAAGTGAAGGATGAAAAATGCCTTGAGATGACTTTTGTTGTGAATCTGTGATATATAAACCAAACTGAATTAAATTATCCAGTGTAGCTGGATGTGGCAATGTTTTTCTTTTCCTACTTGCTCTAGGTGATAATAAAACCTAATATGTTTAACCGTATCCATCCCCACAGAGGGCAGCAAAGTACCTGCTTAGCACTGCTAACTCGCAGGACGGTCCATGCAACCTGAGGAACCTCGTTGTGTGAGCTTCACATGTTCCCGTTTTCCCTTTGCATGGTTTCATCATGTTAAAAAAGAAGCATAGTCTGTCTGACCTTTAATCCAACCAAAGTGACCATGTGTTATGTCAGGATTACCAAAAGTATAAAATGAGCTAAAAAGTCAAAAAATAATGTCAGATATTTTTAGGGATTTTTCAACTTTTCTCAAATTTAGAAGAATACGTTTCCTGAGTATCTGGGCGAATTACGTTAGAAACCCCACGACTTGGGTAACCCTCCACAAATTTCTCAGAACAACGGTCGGCCCCATTCCTCCTAATCCCATCAGGATTTTAGGGGCAGTTTGCTCACATTCAAATGTTCAGCCTTGCCCTCAAATTTTCTATGGGACTTAGAGGTGAGGAAGTTGCAGTTGCCACTTCAAAACATTTCCTTTGTTGTTAGTAATAATTTTTAGGTCATTGTGCATTTTAAAAACCCATTCAGGCCAATAGTTTCATATCTGGAATTCTTGTTTCAATAACTACACACGATAATTATTCAATGTGACATAATCAATTATGTGATGGCGCCACCCTCTGACCTCTGACCCCAACACTTCACTGTTGTGAGTGTGTCGGTCACACACTCAGTCGTGTCATAATGACCCTTCCATTTGGCTGGCACAGAGCATCCCAGAGGAGGTCTTGCTTTGGAAAACATATGGATTCTTGACATCTGCATAAAACAAATCCATCTTATTTCCTCAGGCAGGGAAGTCAACAAGCTGTTGAAATGATTAAACTGAATAAACTGAATTAATAAAAAAAATGTGAAGGAACTTTAGGGTTTAATTTACCTAGTGCTTTAGCTGTTCTGCTACAGGACTCACCTCATATCTGGGAACATTTTCCAGACACTACATGGAAGCCTGAGGATCCAGATTGCTCTCCATCCGTGTCACCTCGCCTGTATGATACGAGTCTTTATCCCGTTGAAGTTTCAGGATCTCAGAATCCTTTACATTTATTCAGTAAACAAAATGTACAATCCTATCATTGTTTTTTTTCTTTTTAATGTTAAATTCAAACCACACGTGATGGTGGATTTTAATAAATAAAATGTAACCTTTGTTCCAGTCATACAACACATCCCCAACCCCTATGGACCGTCTGAATGAAGCCTTTTTTATTTTGAACCATCATTCTGATTATCTTACTGCAGTCTGCATGTAATAATTGGACAGTTTCACATATTTATCCACATCCTCTGCTTCTCATCTTCAAATAATTGGCTGTACACTAAAATTACTATCCCAAATGAGACTTTGGTTTGATACAGCAGAATCTCCCCACATCCAAGAAATGCACAACACAGAACCTGACAGAGGGAGCTGTTGGTAATAATGTTAGTGTGACAGATAATTAAGAATTTAACCGAGTTATTCTTGATGTTTCTCATGACTTCATTAGTCATGAGAATAACTACACATAATTATTCAATGTGACAATCAATTATGTGATGGCACCACCCTCTGACCTCTGACCCCAACACAGAACCTGACGGGCAGTCATTTTGTAGACTGTCCATCAGCAGTCTACAAAATGAGACTGCTGATGGGCATCCTGGTTAATTTACCTCACTGTACATTGGTCGTTCTACTGTCCCTCCATGTGGGCCCGTTTACTTCTATGCGTTTTGGTTCCATGTGTTTTTCTATGTGTTTCATGTGTGGCTATCTGCTACACGTTTAAAAA